GTTAGGTAAGCTTAATGCATATGGCATCAGTTTGATTCTGTAGATCACGAAATCTTGTTAGGTAAGCTTAATGCATATGGCATCAGTTTGATACTGTAGATCACGAAATCTTGTTAGGTAAGCTTAATGCATATGGCATCAGTTTGATACTGTAGATCACGAAACCTTGTTAGGTAAGCTTAATGCATATGGTATCAGTTTGATACTGTAGATCACGAAATCTTGTTACGTAAACTTAATGCATATGGCATCAGTTTGATACTGTAGATCACGAAATCTTGTTAGGTAAGCTTAATGCATATGGCATCAGTTTGATACTGTAGATCACGAAATCTTGTTAGGTAAGCTTAATGCATCTGGCATCAGTTTGATACTGTAGATCACGAAATCTTGTTAGGTAAGCTTAATGCATATGGCATCAGTTTGATTCTGTAGATCACGAAATCTTGTTAGGTAAGCTTAATGCATATGGCATCAATTTGATTCTGTAGATCACGAAATCTTGTTAGGTAAGCTTAATGCATATGGCATCAGTTTGATACTGTAGATCACGAAATCTTGTTAGGTAAGCTTAATGCATATGGCATCAGTTTGATACTGTAGATCACGAAATCTTGTTAGGTAAGCTTAATGCATATGGCATCAGTTTGATACTGTAGATCACGAAATCTTGTTAGGTAAGCTTAATGCATATGGCATCAGTTTGATACTGTAGATCACGAAATCTTGTTAGGTAAGCTTAATGCATATGGCATCAGTTTGATACTGTAGATCACGAAATCTTGTTAGGTAACTTAATGCATATGGCATCAGTTTGATACTGTAGATCACGAAATCTTGTTAGGTAACTTAATGCATATGGCATCAGTTTGATACTGTAGATCACGAAATCTTGTTAGGTAAGCTTAATGCATATGGCATCAGTTTGATACTGTAGATCACGAAATCTTGTTAGGTAAGCTTAATGCATATGGCATCAGTTTGATACTGTAGATCACGAAATCTTGTTAGGTAAGCTTAATGCATATGGCATCAGTTTGATACTGTAGATCACGAAATCTTGTTACGTAAGCTTAATGCATATGGCATCAGTTTGATTCTGTAGATCACGAAATCTTGTTACGTAAGCTTAATGCATATGGCATCAGTGAAGTAGCTGGAAATTGGTTTAGATCTTATCTTAGTGAACGTCAACAAATGTGTTGTGTTAATGGTCATTCTTCGAATAGTCATTTTCTTCGATGTGGAGTTCCCCAGGGAACTATATTAGGTCCACTTCTATTTTTAATCTATATCAATGACCTGCCTAATTGCCTTGTACATTCCCGTGCACGTATGTTTGCTGATGACACTAATTTGACATATGCAAGTAATAATATTTACGATATCAATCATAACTTTAATGAAGATCTTGCCCATGTCAGTGAATGGTTATCAGCAAATAGGCTTACTTTAAATCAAACTAAAACTGAATTCATGTTGATTGGCTCCCATCAAAGGATAAATACTTTTCACGCAACTCCTTCTTTGGCAATTAACAACGTTCCAGTTAGGCAAGTCTCTCACACAAAGTCACTGGGCACACATATCGATGAGAAGTTGTCCTGGAATGTTCACATTGAAAAATTGTGTAAAAAAGTTGCTAGTGGCATAGGTGCTTTAAAGCGCATAAGACCTTTTGTTTCACCTTCCACAATGCAACTGATTTACAAATGTCTAGTCCAGCCATATTTCGACTACTGCTCAGTTATCTGGCAGAGTTGCGGGAGTACTCGTGCGGATAAACTACAAAAACTACAAAATCGTGCCGCAAGAGTACTGACGTCATCCAGTTATGATACAAATGCCGATTATCTGTTTGAAATACTTGGTTGGAAAAATCTTGCATCTCAGCGTAAGATTGCCAAAGCTATCATGGTATATAAATCTGTAAATGGCCTTACACCAGATTACCTCTCCGAAATGTTTGTTGATCGCAGTAACATTACAAATTATACGTTGAGAGACACCACCGGCAAACTTGCGATACCACAACCGCGTACAAACTATTTGAAAAATAGTTTTAGTTACAGTGGTGCGGTACTGTGGAATTCTCTTCCTATAGAATTACGGCAGGCTAGCTCTTTACGTAAATTCAAGGCTGATTGTAGCAACTTCATTCAATAATTTTAATATTTTTACTCCTATCTACATTATTAGTTAATAATGCACGGCACTCATGGAAAACAGGTATTAATAATGTATTTCCATATTTTGTTATTTGTAATGTCCCTTGTCTATTTTATTGTAAATCCTGATGAGTCTACCGTGGTTAAATAAAGTTCACTTACTTAACAGCATCTGATAGTATAGGCCTAGACGAGGGTTTCAAAAGCGAACAAAACAATGTTACAAATATGAGACCATACTCCAACAAATTGATACAATATGATGATGTATGTTGAATATAGCTATAGTTTTGTGTACAGCTTATATTTGAAGTATTTTTCGTAAAATTTATTAAAACTTATTACAGCGTATTTTACGAGTGTCTTCTTCAGCTCGTGCACCGTAACGAGGAAGACCTTTAGGACGAGGTTGATATGTTGTAACATCAACAGTTTCAACTGGACTTTAGGACTATTTTTCTCGCGTTTCCTTCAGTGAATTGTTTTTAAACTTTGCACTTTCGCCACGCATGACGATTAGTCTAACATATCAAATTTCAAGAAACTCTAAAATTTCGAAAACTAGACAGGACTGGAGTCCCTGAAATTTGATTTTCAGCATTTTGATGGACGATTATCAGAACTCCCAAAATTGTAAAGCTCATAAAACACATGGCTTTTCATGACTATAATGCAGGTGTATAAGAGATATGTACATTGAAAATTACAAAAGTCACCTTTGTTTTCATTGAAAATATTATGCCAAAAGCCTGAAGTTCGTTTTACACCAGGGATCCTGTGGGTTTGCTATAGGTCGTCAACAATTTGCGCTCATTTGTTTATCTCTTTTAGACATATTGCATGCATCAATGATAATCTGTTTTGGATCAAATCCGGCAATATATATTAGCCATAAACGTTTCGGGACCGACTTTTACAACCGATTTCATAAATCTTGGGGTGTCACACTCCCCATAATGTGCGCCTCTGATCATGCACTGTCTGCATGTTTTCACTTCTACGCGAAATCTCTTTATTCTTTAATCTGTTGGCCAGTAATAGATAATAAGACGACGCTTTCGTGTATACATGATTGTATATCACCAGTCGTGACCCGATTCTCTAGAATCCTCTTGGTAGTGAGGCTTGGTAGGCAGTACCACTACCAACCTTCAATGGGGATACAAGGCCATAGAAAAGACCCTTAAGGACACTTCATAAAATGTAATGTTGCTCAAAAAATTGATCATTCGCCAGTTGATTGTGGCTGGAGTTGTTTCAACCTAACAATATACGAAGGAAATACAGTACTGTTGGAAACCTACTACAGATTTCAGTATAAAGATGAAAAGAATGAGAACGGCAGCAGACTCTGATAGTGCTAAATCAGAGAGTGATGTTGAGAATTCGTGTAACACTGACAACGAAGTGAAAACTGATTCTGCAGATGATACTAGTAGTGAAGTAGGTGATGAATATGAATGGGCTCCTTTAAAAGTTGAAGAAGCCCAACAAAGTTAATCGGAATTCGAAGAACTAACCCAGAATTTCACTTTAAAAGGTGTTGACGAAAACGAAGCTAAAGACAAGGCATACTTACTTATCCTATCAAAACTTCGTAAATGTTTGCAGAAAATTTATCTGGAACGTTTACTATGGATAAGACAACTAAAGAGGGATCCAGTACACAAAAAGATCATGAAAACCAGGAATGTCTTGATGATAAATGATGGATGATAAATTATAAATTGGACCACAGGGAAGCGTTAGAGGCCGCTATTGACAAGAGAACATTTCTTTTGAAAAGAATTTTAAGAAACACATTGTCTCCTAGTGACATTGACTCTTAATGGTTGTTTGTATACGATCCTGTGTGGTAGCTTTTTTCCCCTAACCCATCTCACTATCCCTCTCCAAAGTCCCGGCAAACCTTCAAAAAGGCATTTGGGGCCACAACTATTTAATGTTAGGAAATCAGTTGACATTCATCATTTGACATTATGCCTCGGAAGTGTAAGGATTGTCCCATCTGCGGCGAGCGAGCTTTAAAAATATTGGCAAGCCATTTGGGAGACGTCCATGAACTTTCTTCCTAAGCTAGAAAGACAACCTTACCTTATTCGTGCTAAAATGTTTTAGCAGAGTTGTACAGATTAATTGGGAACAGTAAAATGCAGTCAAAGTGGAATAAAAGCGGAATAAAGAATATACCTATTCGTCAACCAAAATCCTCCAGGAAGAGAACAAAATCGAATACAAAACCTGCAAAGAACGTGGGCAATACAGAGCAAGGCCAACGCAGTAATTTATCAACTACAAAGAGGCTAAAACTGTGTTCTCATATAGCAGTCCCAAGACGTACCAAATGGATTACGGAAGATGAAAGCAAGATGATGAAAGCAGACACGACGACGAATTGGATAGCGAAACTTCTCAAACAACTGACGATATATTAGAAGCATAACTTTGTAAAACGTTCTGAAGAAAGAAATGTGTTTTAAATCTAAATTATTGCGCAAATTTTTGTCCGCAAGGCCTCGCGCCCGATTTTGAGGCATACACCTACGTTATAAAGTAATCCCTGTCTATCCATTGGGATACACTTAGTTATGCAAATTTTTGTTCGCCTAATCCCTTAATTACCTACATGTCACCTAATGACTTAGCAACACATAACAACACAACATTTCCAAGTTTAAAACATGTTTATTGATACAAATAACAGTTAAAAGATATCAAGTTCGCCTATTAAACCGTAAGCAGATTTGAGAAATCTATACTCATGGACGCGACAAAGTGCTGAGCTCAGCGAAAATAATGACTGTTCGCCTGAACATGTCCACGACCGACCGTAATAATATCTATTTATATCCATTAGAATCCTATTGATTATGCAAATTCATATTGCTATAATCCCCTTAATTACCTAAAACTTTGTGTTTTACGCGTGGGAATTACCTGACAACGCTACCATCAGAATATTATGTTTCTAACGCATTTGTTTCTAGCAATAAAAACTATATATTTAAACTGACTTTACTTTGAAAATACGCTTGTAAAACCATAGTTTTTATTTCGTTTAAAGGAACATAAGTAGTGTGCTATGTCTTTGAGAAACTTTTATCAGAAACTAATTCTGAATAAATTAAATACATTTTGTGATTGATGTCGCGTTACCTTATTGTGTTTGGTCGCGTTACCTGTCACATTTCGCCGAGGCTTGCCCCGCAAAGCGACGTCATGGATTTTGCAAACTAATTACTTCCGCCGCCATTGTGCTGTCTGGACAAAGTGACGTCATTGTCGGAATCCCTTTGAACTCCATAGGGGGTCTAGTACTACTTACGTTTATACTTATGTTACTTACTTAGGTTAAACTACTTATTTTTACAGCAGTTGTGATATAACTTTCCTAACTGTGTTTTTATCATAACCTACCCTGACAAGTGACAACTTGCACTGTGGGAGGAAACCGGAGCGCCCGGATAAAACCAACGACTTTCGGCAGAGCGTTGACAGAATCATTTCACATGAGTCCGTAGGGAGATCGAACACACTATCTTAGAGTGAAAGCCAGTTGCCCTGACATTTAACGAACACTTGAGTTGAGGACTAGTAAAGTACGGTCGAATAGAGGTTGTTGTCGAGATTGTCGCCCTAGTGTTGAAAAACTTGCTCATATGGATTTTGGAAGGACGTTTTAGAGGTTTAAGGTCGTTGTAAAGGTATTAATTGGTCCAATTTGTCTATTTACCCATTCATTATAATTAAGGCGTAACAAACTTTGCTGAAATCTCGAAAATTTATTGAGAAGAAAATAACATGTTTTGTATCATTGTTTTCAGCTCCGAGAGATATTGTTCCAACACAAGATCCAACTGATGCGCCTGTGTCAAGACAGGCTCGATCTCCATCAGGTTGAACAGGATTTTCATTTTAGCCAATCATTTTTCAACTTGCATTCATAAATGCGCATAACGTACCGTACAGTTGAGATACAACAGGATTTTCGACTTTTTACTCACCTCTTACAACCAGGGTGTAAAAAGCTGGATGGAACAAATATCTTCGTCTTAGGTTTACACCCAGAGCCGAATTTGGGCTAAACACCGCCTCTGGAATAATTAACGGCAGTCAAAATAAGGATACCTAAAGCCTAAGAGAAAATTCCATCTTTAAGCTATGGTAGCTTTCTCTTCAGGCATTGCCTTAGATAGGCGGACAGAATTGAAAGTGTATGTATGTAAACCATTTAGATTTAGAGTGTATGTAAACCAAGGTTACAACTAGCATCACTTATCTGTGCAGACTACAGGCATATCAGTGCTTTGCATTCGCCATCTAGAAATAGATCTGAAATTGAAATTTGTACACAAATTGAATCAGAAAATCTTTCGTTTTTCATGTGACTTAAATAATTTGTACTGATTGCCTAAAGCTTCTGAACTTTTTTATGCATAAATATTCAAATAAATAGCCTGATAACCCCGATAGCACAAACATTAAGACATGTACTTAAGGCGCTTTCTATAATATACCATCTAAATCGTTATAGGGGTTTACCATTTGGATGTTACAATTGTGAACCATTATGGAAAGGCTGTCAGGATTATAACCACCCATTCTAATGCAACATATCGGAAATTTGTGATTCCAGTTGGTGGTAGTTATCGAATAAAATCAACATCTGCTACAAGTGGGAATCTAGTCATCACAGCAAATGATCCAGCAAATAATTTTCCAATCACAAAAGACGGAAAGAACTTAGTTTTCTATGTATCACCCAGTCCCATGCCAGTCAACCGTGTCTACTATATTCCATCAGGTGACTTATGGACCACTGATGTCGATAATCACTTGTTTAAGTTGTTTTGTCAATAACAATTCGGCATATACTAAAAAGCACCTATAGAATTTAATATGCTGTACAGTATATATAACAAAATTAATTAATTAATTTTTAAATTTTCTCGCGAAAGGATTACTCTTTTACATGATTGTAATGCTAACTTAGTTACATTTCTTCTATATATTAATCCAGGACTCTAGCGACCAGGAATATATGTTACCCAAAGTCCCGCACTGCGAAAATGTGTTGTCCTCATTTGTCCATTTAGCACCTCATTAAATATAAGAAGAGCGTAACAAACTTTGGCTACGTTTCCAAAATTTACCATATTGTATAATGTTATTTCCAGGCCCAAAGGATGATGTGTCAACACACGCTCCTGTGGTTGGTCCAACTAATGGTGTGTTAACACAAGCTCCAACTGATGCTACTTTGCCACCACAAGGTATAGAACAAATTTTTTTATTTCAACCAATCATGATCTTGTTAGATACCAGTCTATTCTTACTTGTATGAACTTGATAGAAATACCAATATCTTCAGTGTTTGCATTCGCGCATGCGCATAAGGTACGACGCAACTATTGACAGACCGTAAAGATTTGACTATTTTCTTTTAAATCTGGTGTAAATAGCCGCCATAATATGCCCGTAATAGTTCTCCAAATGACATTTATCTCCCAATGATGACATAATAGCCACACTGTTTATTAACCGTGCAATTGTTTTAGTTAAGGTGGCTTGCTACACTTTTTTAAAAATTAAAGATTCTCTGATTTGGATATAAATTTTTGGCGAATAATTATTTGTTTTAAAACAAAGAGTATCTGACTGGTATAACACAATAACTAAGAAGTTCGAAATTTTAAAAAAACTACTCCTAACTGCCGTTGCTATGGCAACAGTGACGTCCCAACATGACGGATATTTTATGTTTAATGTAACTTAACTCGAAAAAAAGGTCGGTTACCCCATTTTTTACTTCATAAAATAATTTGTATTGGAATTTTGAATTATTTTCTAATTTTAAAAAATTCTGTAATGCCGAAATTTTTTAAGATAGAAAAATATGAAAATTCCTAATAATATTTTTTACCATTACAGAATTTTTTTTAAATCATGAAAAGTAATTCAAAATACCAAAGTAAATCATTTTATGAAATAAAAAATGGGGATAACCGAACTTTTTTTCGAGTTAAGTTACTTCAAACATAAAATATCCGCCATGTTGTGACGTCATTGTTGCCATAGCAACGACAGTTCGGAGTTGTTTTTAAAAAATTCCGAACTCCTTAGTTATTGTGTTATTGTTACCAGTCAGATAATTATTCTCCAGAAATTCATATCCAAATCAGAATATCTTTTGTCCCTTTTAGTGTTGCGAGCCACCTCAAGCACGTGCGAGAAAGCATGTATGTTGTCCAGTACAGTATTATAGTCATGTGGACAACCTGTCATATATGCCGATTAATCATAATCCGTTATAATTGTTCATCTTGCTTTCACTCATTAAATGTTATGTTACAGTACGGTCTTGTTTATGGGTGTGTTTTGTGCAAGGAATTGTGGTTGGTTCAGAAGTGTTAACTGTGGTAGAAGAAATTTAGACATGTTGAGCAAAATCTTGCTCATTGTTTGATACTGATGTCTGAGGATTAAGGTGCCATGACCGACTTTGGATGGTATTCATCCTTTGGACGCGCAGATTGAATTACCGTAATATGTATTTCTCCCGTTCCAGGAGACACTTTAGTTTCAAGTGATACTACTGTGTCAAGACGAGATATAACTGACGCTTTTATGAACCGGGATTATGAAACTACTGGTAATGTGTCACTACAAGCTTCAATTAATGCTACTGTGTCAACACAAGCTGCAACTGATGCTGCTGTGTCAACACAAGGTCCAACTGATGCTGCTGTGTCAACACAAGGTCCAACTGAAGCTGCTATGTCAACACAAGCTCCAACTGATGCTGCTATGTCAACACAAGCTCCAACTAATGCTGATGTGTCAACACAAGCTCCAACTAATGCTGATGTGTCAACACAAGCTCCAACTGAAGCTGCTGTGTCAACACAAGCTCCTACTACTATAACTGTACGAACAGATAATTCAACTGCAAGTCCAACTGATGCTGCTGCGTCAACGCGTCCAACTGCTGCTGTAACAACTGATGCAGGTTTATTTCAATTTTTAACGTTGTACTTGATTCTGCTACATTAATGATAATGAATAGCAAAATGAAGAACTCTCAAACCATGCAAGTCCATTTAATTAGTGAATACAACAAGTTCAAATTACTCAATATTTTTAATAATTTCATTTCTAGATGTCAAAGACGTCTGCAAATATGAGAAAATTTACGTTATTAGTATCATAGCATTAGCGATCCTTCTAGCAATACTGCTTCTTATCGTTGCTTGTTTGGTTTGTGGAGCATCAAAAACAAAAGTTAAGACGAAAACTAGTGTTGAAATGCATGAATCACTTGTTGATTCAATGCCTAACGAAGATGAAGAGAACAACTGCAGTGGAGACGGTACGATACGGATAAATCTTTAAAAAAAGTAGTATACCCAGTTCAACACTATGAATAGCTTGCATATAGAGTTCATACAATATAATTTTATTATTAAATTTCAAAACCTTGCCATATTTTGTATCGTTCTTTTCAGATCCAAGAGATAATGTACCAACACATGTTTCCGCAGTTTGTTCAAGTTTTGCTGCAACAACAGAAACTACAACTGATGCTGCTGGGTCGGCGCAAGGTTCAACTGATGCTGTTGTTTCAATGGAAGTTCCAACTGTTGCTGTTGTGTCAGAAGCTCGAGCTCCAACCGATACTACTGTGTCATCACAAGATCCGAATAATGCTGCTTTGTCAACACAACCTCCACCCAATGCTGCTGTGTCAACAAAAAGGTCAGCTGATGCTACTGTGTCACCACAAGCTCCAGCCGATGCTGCTGTGCCAACACCGAGTCCAACTGATGCTTTTGTGTCATCAGAAGCTCCAACTAATGCAGCTGTGTCAACACAAGTTCCGACCAATGCTGATGTGTCAACACAAAGTCCAACTGATTCTGCTATGCCATCAACAGCTCCAACTAGTAATGCTGCATCACCACAAGCGCCAACCAATGCTGCTGTATCATCGCAAGGTCCAACTAATGCTGCAGTGATAACTGTCGGCGCGACAAATGCTGCTGTCAAGAAAACCACCATCCAAGATGAAGGCATGAATGAAACTGATCTTTGATATTAATCATTATAGGATCGCCTGCACTGGATCGAGAGAGTTGTTGTATCATTTCAAGTCAATTTTTCAATAGAAAATTTCCTTTACTATAGTCGAATAATCACAAGCACAAATGTTCTCTCAAAACTAAAAGAAGAATTTTAGACTTTAGTAGTAAACATATAACGACTTTGTTAATTGCACCTATGCATAATCTGTAAACACAATTCTATATTAGACATAAAAATAAAATTTCAAGAAAAGAAACGTTTTACTGTACTTATGTGTCGGGATAACACACGAAGACGTATTGGCAGCAAACATTCGCAATGACTTCCGTACGAGCGTTGCTCATAAAACTTGTATAGTCTCTATAACGAACAAAATACAGTGGGTTTATATTTATTAATGGTAATTCAAACATTTAGTAATATCCGCAAAGTGCACGCATGCCCTGCCTAAAAGCAGTCCAGTCAAATACAGGTCTATTCAATAACACAATCAGATTGTTATCTAAGTTGAATTTTATACAAAGAACACCAATGAAAGTCCGGTTTTATTTAAAATCTTACGGTATTTAATAATCCAGATCTAAATTCGGGCATGAGCGTGACTTGAGTATCAGACTGTCTTTATAAGGAAGGGAAATTGGCCTGATACTCAGGTTAGCAAGTAATGCAAGCTGTGGGTTTGCGTGCATGAATCAGTTCGTGCACATGAGTTCAGTTTTACAATATATTAATTAATTTCTTTAGCAATTGCATTTTATTAAAAAATGAATGCTTTTAAAGTTAATCTCCGAGGGTACTAATTCCGCCCGGCTATTTACACCCGCGGAAACGAAAGCATTAGCGAAGTCTAAAGTTCATCAATGATCGCAGGCGTGGGTGACCAACGGTGGGTGGTCATCTCCAATGATCTCAAAAAATGTGGCGGACTGTCATGAATAGCACTCTCCATGCAAGTGGTGATTCACACGAAATTTTGCTTTCTATCGTCTTCAACAGTATGGCTATTGCTATTAATACTTAGTTTAAATATGCTCTTATAGATCTGACTTAGTTCATTTTAGGATTCGCTTGTTTCGCCGGACACCAACACTAGTTGCCTTTCAGGAGCAATGCTTGCCTGCAAATTTTATTCCCTTCACAATCTTTGTTCTATTTTATCGTATAGTCGCAATTTTTAAGTATTCGGAGTATTCTGAAACTGTAACACTCGGTGGCGTGAGGAATCTTGTGGAGACTACACTATATCGGCCTAGGCGTAGAGCTATTAAGTATTAAACGGGGCCTAGGCTAAATTAATTTAGTAGTTTCATTTAATTGTTTGTCTTGCTTTTATTTGTCAGTACAGAATATTGTAAATTAAAATATTACTACAATGCAATACGCGTAGTATTTCGTCAGACATCTGCACTACATTTTAAATACTGTACAAGGAAAACTACAGCTTAATAATAGTAGACGTTTCTTGTTTTGTCAGGAAACATCACAGCTCACGTCGACACAGCTTTTGAGTTTTGTAACTGGCCGAGGCGAAAGTAAATCATGCAGTCGGGAAAACGTCTTACTTTGACTACAAGAACATACTCGTACACACAAAAATCATAAAAATTAAAAATACAAATGTTGAATTGTTAATATTGTCAACTGTCAAGTTCAGTTATTTTTAGACAATATTCATGGTGTTAGCCAATCAGAATGCAAAATTGACCGGCCCAGACCAGGGCTTTCTCGTGTCTAGCCTCGTCCTCATACGAAAGCCCTGGGAACGAGGTTGAAAACGTCTAAAAGAACGCAGCAAAGTCGCCGACGTTAATGAAGGTAAGTTTGTTTTTCGTATTGCCGTATCGTTTGCTTTATAATTGCTTTACAAACTGATATTACGATCCGTTATGTATAGTAAAGTGAAAATAATTTCACATTATTTCAGTGTATTTTTGTTAATATTACCCTTTTTTTGTATATTAAAATATTTAAATAAAGAGGAAAGCAAAGTTATTTTCATGAAGGAATTTGAAAATTAATCAATTTATTTCAATTTTCAAACTCAATGTTTACCGATTAAAGGCAGTTCAGTTTTAAGAACATTTTAAAACGTTTTGCGAAGCGTTTGTGGTTGAATTTTGCATTAAATTGAAGCTTATATTACGTATAATAACATATATTGTTATATAGCTAGTGTGAACACCAAACGTGATTGGCTGATTTGTAGTCACGTGGCTTTAGATAAATGCAATGTATCCCGCCCGGGCAATAAGTGAAAAATTGTTGCCTGCCCCGACCGGCGCTACGTACATAAATAAACAAAATGGCGGCACAAATTTATACTATTTAAACTACTGTTTTCGTGGCTTTGTGTTAAAATAAAGAATGTAAAAGAGAAGAAAAATACATAACAGGCAACAGGATATGCAGCTGAAACCATTTAAGTAGGTTTTTCAAATTTTAAACTCGTTTTAATACGCTATAGAGTTTTTGTCATGAAATACAAATATTGTTGTATGAATGTTGTTCAATGTTGATATTTGTTTCGTCGCTATATAACAAAACACTTAAAACACGTTCCAGAGCAAAGTGAAATATTCTATTTAGGCAAATTCATGCAAAATTTGATCAAAATTCTAAATATTGGCAGCAAATGCAAAAAATTCCTTACGCCAATGCTAAAAAGGCAAATTTAGACAATAATTCGCCACAAAAAATGAAGTGTTGCAAGATTCCATATGAATTGGTCATTTTAGCACCACACTGACATTTTATATACACTGATAGAAAATAAATAGTAAGTTTACAGTCACCCAAAGCATTGACATAAATATATAACTTAATGGGACTGCAAATGCAGCGCCAACTCAAAGCATTGACATAGAATCTATCACTTATTGGCACTGCAGTTGCAGAGCCAACTCAAGGCATTGACATGTAATCTATAACTTATTGTCACTGCAATTGCAGAGCCAACTCAAGGCATTGACATGTAATCTATAACTTATTGTCACTGCAATTGCAGAGCCACCTCAAGGCATTGACATGTAATCTCTAACTTATTGTCACTGCAATTGCAGAGCCAACTCAAGGCATTTACATGTAATCTATAACTTGTTGTCACTGCAATTGCAGAGCCAACTCAAGGCATTGACATAAAAGCTATGACTTATTGTCACTGCAATTGCAGAGCCAACTCAAGGCATTTACATGTAATCTATAACTTATTGTCACTGCAATTGCAGAGCCAACTCAAGGCATTGACATAAAAGCTACGACTTATTGTCACTGCAATTGCAGCGCCAACTGAAGGCATTGACATATAATCTATAACTTATTGGCACTGCAATTGCAGAGCCAACTCAAGGCATTGACATGTAATCCCCGAGCCGGCGGCGCGAAGCGCCGTGCGAGGGTACTAATTCCCCCCGGCTATTTACACCCGGGGAAACGAAAGCATTAGCGGAGTCTAAAGTTCATCAAATATCGCGGGCGTGGGTGACCAACGGTGTTGAGTGGGTGGTCATCCTCACTGATCTCAAAAATATGGCGGACTGTCATGGATAGCGAACACTGATTGGTCAAATTTAAAATTTGTTGTTGTATGACAAATGACGACTTCAACTGACAGATACTCCATGAAAATAATTTGCTTTTTACACTACAGTATTTTGTACGTTTGCAAAAAACTTTGACAGCTTTCAAAGCAATTTGTTCTATAAAAAAGTTTAATAAAACAATTATGGTATCAAATACCAATTGAAAAGATATGGAGCCAAATGAAGAGCGGCAAGGAAACGACAAGAAAGCCGAACGTCTAGCGAAAAGGAGGGAGCGAAGACGACAACGTTTGCTCGAGGAGACTGCTAAGGAAAGAGAAGCTCGCCTGGGAAAGCGTAGAGAAGCATGGAAAAGACTGCTGAGTGAAGCGAAAGGTAAGAAAAGGCTTGTCTTCACAACGCTATATAACTACTAATGATACTGTAGCTATACAAGTTTAAGTATAATATTCGACCCTCTATATTCGACTATTTCTTCACAATTTTCCAATAAAGAGTTTGTCATGACATGCTCAAGTCAGTATAACCAGACTGTATTTTATTTATATCAGTTATCACAGCCACAGGCAATTTTACGCTGTCAAATACCGTCGGTTGCAACTAAGGGTGAACAGTTGCAGATAAAACATTCTCTATTCTCATTAAAAAGCCTGTAAAGGTTTCCAGTAGGTCTCTAGCCCAACACGTTCAGACCACACAAAGTTTTTTTACTTATTATTGTACACATGGGAAACAACAATTAAGTGTTGTTGTTCTTGACAAACATTGGAGATTCTAATCACGCAAATGTTTTTATGAGCAAGTGTTCATCGTTAGATGCAAGCGACGGTACAACATACTATGAACATTTTTCCGACTGTGACCGAATGTGCAACGATATAATTTTCAAAGTTGTTATCAATTCCTAAAATTTGTTTATAGTAAAACGGCCTGCTCAGCCACCCGATTAGCGCGTTTGACGCCGGCTGACAGCCGGAAATTTTGTCTCCGATTGCTCGGCTGCCAGCCCGGCTGTACTATAGTATACTGTTCGTTCAAAAAATGCGCGCATTTCGGGGACTGGTTCTAGAATGTTTCATAAGCAGAAAACCACCAAAATTACATTAATTTTTCCGAAAATCATCGAAATGCATCTAAATTCATGTCCCAATGCATATAGCTAGCTATGGGACAGGTAAATAAACGAAGAAAAAAAACAATTTCGGCAAAAAGAAAAATTCAAATTCGTTTGCGCGCATTCCGGGACCGAACTCACGACCTTCAGCATACACGCTGAGTCTTGTTCCTCTGCGCCACCACGTCTTACACGGAAAATATGTTAATTTATTGTATATATACAGGTTATTCATAGCCAGCGCGATTAAAGATTGCGTAAATACGTACACTATCGTACACGGCCAAGGGTACAGTAGCAGCCGAGCCGTATCTACACTTTAATACAATACTTACAATACATCGCGGCATAGATCACGGCTTCCAGCCGGGGTTATTTAACTGTAATACAATACTACCATGCAATAAGAGTGTCAGCCAAGCCTATCGGTAGTATACTGTAGTATACTACAATACATCGCGGCTACCAGCCGGCAATACGGCTATCAGCCGGGCCTGTCTGTAGTATACTATAGTATACTACAATACATCACGGCTACCAGCCGGGGTTATTTAACTGTAATAAAATACTACAATGCAATACGAGTGTCAGCCGAGCCTGTCGGTAGTATACTGTAGTATACTACAATACATCGCGGCTACCAGCCGGCAATACGGCTATCAGCCGGGCGTGTCTGTAATATACTATAGTATACTACAATACATCACGGCTACCAGCCGGGGTTATTTAACTGTAATAAAATACTACAATGCAATACGAGTGTCAGCCGAGCCTGTCGGTAGTATACTGTAGTATACTACAATACATCGCGGCTACCAGCCGGCAATACGGCTATCAGCCGGGCGTGTCTGTAATATACTATAGTATACTACAGACACGCCCGGCTGATAGCCATATTGCCGGCTGGTACCCGCGATGTATTGTAGTATACTATAGTATACTACAGACAGGCCCGGCTGATAGCCGTATTGTCGGCTGGTAGCCGTGAAGTATCGTAGTATACTACAGTATACTACCGACAGGCTTGGCTGACACTCGTATTGCATGGTAGTATTGTATTACAGTTAAATAACCCCGGCTGGAAGCCGTGATCTATGCCGCGATGTTTTGTAAGTATTGTATTAAAGTGTAGATACGGCTCGGCTGCTACTGTACCCTTGTCCGTGTACGATGGTGTACGTATTTACGCAATCTTTAATCGCGCTGGCTAAGAATAACCTGTATATATACAATAAATTAACATATTTTCCGTGTAAGACGTGGTGGCGCAGAGGAACAAGACTCAGCGTGTATGCTGAAGGTCGTGAGTTCGGTCCCGGAATGTGCGCAAACGAATTTTTCTTTTTGGAATTTTTCTTTTTGCCGAAATTGTTTTTTTTTCTCGTTTATTTACCTGTCGTATAGCTAGCTATATGCATTGGGAAGATGAATTTAGATGCATTTCGATGATATTCGGAAAATTTAATGTAATTTTGGTGGTTTTCTGCTTATGAAACATTCTAGAACCAGTCTCCGAAATGCGCACATTTTTTGAACGAATAGTATACTATAGTACAGCCCGGCTGGCAGCCGAGCAATCGGAGACAAAATTACCGGCTGTCAGCCGGCGTCAAACGCGCTAATCGGGTGGCTCAGCACTCACTACTCACGTTGATCTGATTTCATTTAGAAATGCAGTTACCGGGAAAGGAACTGATTCTAAAATATGTAAATTTAAAAGCATTGGCTAACAGAATAAAGCGATCGGTGAAGACAAGGTACAAACTTTTATAGTTGCTATTTGTTATAAAATCCTATAAATAAACCGATTCCACAATAATTTTGCCTCGAATTTGCATATTCTATGCTGCATATTTATATTTTATTTTTATAGTATAAAAATAAAATTGTAATACTATGAAATAAAATACATTTCTGTTTATTGACCAGTACTTATTTAATGTCGTCTTCATCCAGTGGTCAGAGTAAATTTCTACTTCTAGCAAGTAAATATTTGACAAGCAGTCTGGAATAAGCACAGGACTTTTAATGCATCAGCCAAATCCAAGTGTGTCCATCCCCCTCGCCCAGCCATTTTCCTGTAAAGCACATCCCGGGGGTTGGGCATTTCCACTCGAACCTTAGCACCGGTGGGGCATTTGAAATTAATAATTTGGATTCTTGCACTTCACTTGTCGAATTAATATTAGAATGTTAGGGTTTGTAATCCAAGTGAGAATATATGCATGTATATATTTTGTAATCCAAGTGAGAATATTTTTTAATCCAAGTGAGAATATACAAATGTATAGTACATGTATATATTTTGTGTATATATTTTGTAATCCAAGTGAGAATAGTTTGTAATCCAAGTGAGAATATACAAATGTATATATTCTCACTTGGATTACAAACCCTAACATTCTAATATTAATTCCACCAAGTGAAGTGCAAGAATCCAAATTATTGAAGTCCACCTTATCACAACCCGCACACCCGATTACCTAAATATACATGAACTTACGGTTCAGCTCAACAGCTGGCCTCTGTAGCTCAGTTGGTTAGAGCGCTGCACCGGAATCGCAGGGCCGTAGGTTCAATTCCTACCGGAGGACCTTGTGCTGCATTTTTTGCAGTCGTTCCTGGTTAGGTCTTAAAATGTATATATTCTCACTTGGATTACAAACCCTAACATTCTAATATTAATTCCAACAAGTGAAGTGCAAGAATCCAAATTATTGAAGTCCACCTTATCACAACCCGCACACCCGATTACCTAAATATACATGAACTTACGGTTACAACTCAACAGCTGGCCTCTGTAGCTCAGTTGGTTAGAGCGCTGCACCGGAATCGCAGGGTCGTAGGTTCAATTCCTACCAGAGGACCTTGTGCTGCATTTTTCGCAGTCGTTCCTGGTTAGGTCTTAAAATGTATATATATTCTCATTTGGATTACAAACCCTAACATTCTAATATTAATTCCACCAAGTGAAGTGCAAGAATCCAAATTATTGAAGTCCACCTTATCACAACCCGCACACCCGATTACCTAAATATACATGAACTTACGGTTAAAGCTCAACAGCTGGCATCTGTAGCTCAGTTGGTTAGAGCGCTGCACTGGAATTGCAGGGCCGTAGGTTCAATTCCTACGAGAGGACCTTGTGCTGCATTTTTCGCAGTCGTTCCTTGTTAGGTCTAAAAATGTATATATTCTCACTTGGATTACAAACCCTAACATTCTAATATTAATTCCAACAAGTGAAGTGCAAGAATCCAAATTATCGAAGTCCACCTTATCACAACCCGTACACCCGATTACCTAAATATACATGAACTTACAGTTAAAGCTCAACAGCTGGCCTCTGTAGCTCAGTTGGTTAGAGCGCTGCACCGGAATCGCAGCGCCGTAGGTTCAATTCCTACCAGAGGACCTTGTGCTGCATTTTTCGCAGTCATTCCTGGTTAGGTCTTAAAATGTATATATTCTCACTTGGATTACAAACCCTAACATTCTAATATTAATTCCAACAAGTGGAGTGCAAGAATCCAAATTATTGAAGTCCACCTTATCACAACCCGCACACCCGATTACCTAAATATACATGAACTTACGGTTAAAGCTCAACAGCTGGCCTCTGTAGCTCACTTGGTTAGAGCACTGCACCGGAATCGCAGGCCGTAGGTTCAATTCCTACCAGAGGACCTTGTGCTGCATTTTTCGCAGTCGTTCCTGGTTAGGTCTTAAAATGTATATATTCTCACTTGGATTACAAACCCTAACATTCTAATGTTAATTCCAACAAGTGAAGTACAAGAATCCAAATTATTGAAGTCCACCTTATCACAACCCGCACACCCGATTACCTAAATATACATGAACTTACGGTTAAAGCTCAACAGCTGGCCTCTGTAGCTCAGTTGGTTAGAGCGCTGCACCGGAATCGCAGGGTCGTAGGTTCAATTCCTACCAGAGAACCTTGTGCTGCATTTTTTGCAATCGTTCCTGGTTAGGTCTTAAAATGTATATATTCTCACTTGGATTACAAACCCTAACATTCTAATATTAATTCCAACAAGTGAAGTGCAAGAATCCAAATTATTGAAGTCTACCTTATCACAACCCGCACCCCCGATTACCTAAATATACATGAACTTACGGTTAAAGCTCAACAGCTGGCCTCTGTAGCTCAGTTGGTTAGAGCGCTGCACCGGAATTGCAGGGCTGTAGGTTCAATTCCTACCAGAGGACCTTGTGCTGCATTTTTCGCAGTCGTTCCTGGTTAGGTCTTAAAATGTATATATTCTCACTTGGATTACAAACCCTAACATTCTAATATTAAGTCCACCAAGTGAAGTGCAAGAATCCAAATTATTGAAGTCCACCTTATCACAACCCGCACACCCGATTACCTAAATATACATGAACTTACAGTTAAAGCTCAACAGCTGGCCTCTGTAGCTCAGTTGGTTAGAGCGCTGCACCGGAATCGCAGGGCTGTAGGTTCAATTCCTACCAGAGGACCTTGTGCTGCATTTTTCGCAGTCATTCCTGGTTAGGTCTTAAAATGTATATATTCTCACTTGGATTACAAACCCTAACATTCTAATATTAATTCCAACAAGTGAAGTACAAGAATCCAAATTATTGAAGTCCACCTTATCACAACCCGCACACCTGATTACCTAAATATACATGAACTTACGGTTAAAGCTCAACAGCTGGCCTCTGTAGCTCAGTTGGTTAGAGCGCTGCACCGGAATCGCAGGGCCGTAGGTTCAATTCCTACCAGAGGACCTTGTGCTGCATTTTTTGCAGTCGTTCCTGGTTAGGTCTTAAAATGTATATATTCTCACTTGGATTACAAACCCTAACATTCTAATATTAATTCCACCAAGTGAAGTGCAAGAAACCAAATCATTGAAGTCCACCTTATCACAACCCGCACACCCGATTACCTATATATACATGAACTTACGGTTACAGCTCAACAGCTGGCCTCTGTAGCTCAGTTAGTTAGAGCGCTGCACCGGAATCGCAGGG